TTTCTTGGATGCAGCCATCCGAGATCAGGATAAACAAACTCTTCCAGAATCCCCAGAAGACCTTTGAAATGTTTTCAACCAGTTTAGATGCTAAGCCTCCCAAGTTCAGAAATTAAGACTTTACATTGCTACTCGGGAGGTCTGTCAGCAGAGCACATGAGGAGAACCCAGTAGCGCAGGTGGAGGAATGTAAGCAATTTCTCCACCAAAACAGTTAATGGACCCCCCGGGTACAAACATTTCTAAACTTTCCCTTTCCCACAATTTTTTCTTAAAAAACCTGAAAGCGATATAATGCTGAAAATGTTTGAATGCTTGATTTTTCAGTTTACACATTGCGGCTCAAATTTTAAACTGACTGATACTTTGATTAACTTGGTGCTTTCAGACTTGTAGGTCCATACGGACTGGTCATACACACTAGAGCATTAAGAACCACTTTTGCATGCGTTCAGGAGGCATTCATTCCTGTGAATGGGCTTTCAACCCAATCAGAAATCTGATAGGCACACACTCATAGAAGACTTTACCACAGGGCCACCTATGACAGGGGTGAGAAGCATGTCACCACCCAGATATTCTGAGACCTAAACTTTTATCAGCCCCAACTGGAATGGGCAATGGTCAGAGCTGAAGGGAGCCCAACGGCATCCAGAGTTCATGGTCTGTTGTGATGCCCATCGCTGAAGAGTATTGATGTCCCAAGCAAGGGAGGTCAGTTAGTTCCCAGGACCCCAAGCAGCAGGTAGGCAGGACAGTGGGGTGAGGCAAAGGTCAGCACCTTGGAGCGAGATCAAGTTGTGGGTTCAGAACCATGGATAGTGCTCCGACAGCTGCGGCCAAGTTATCTCAGTGAGGTCCTGGAGCAACTGGCTGAATTGAAAAGTCTGAGACATCCTTTGGTGATGCCTCTTGGCAAGCTAAAAAGGGTTGATGCCTTCTTCTGCAGCTATTTCCTCCTTTGAGCTCAGGGAATCTCTTCTCAGGGCTCTCTCTCTTTAGTTTTCATGTGCCATGAATGCACACATCATTATTATAGACATCTGAAGGTTTATAATCAATTACGTCATGCTTAAAAAGGTAAAGGGACCCCTGACCATTGGGTCCAGTCATGGATGACTCTGGGGTTGCGGCGCTCATCTCGCTTTACTGGCCAAGGGAGCCGGCGTTTGTCCGCAGACAGCTTCCGGGTCATGTGTCCAACAGGACTAAGCCGCTTCTGGTGAACCAGAGCAGCGCACGGAAATGCCGTTTACCTTCCTGCCGGAGCGGTACCTATTTATCTACTTGCACTTCATGCTTTCGAACTGCTAGGTTGGCAGGAGCAGGGACCGAGCAACGGGAGCTCACCCCGTCGCGGGGATTCGAACCGCCGACCTTCTGATCGGCAAGCCCTAGGCTCTGTGGTTTAACCCATAGCGCCACCTGCGTCCCTATGTCATGCTTAATAGATACTTAATATTTGCATTAGATTAGTCCCAATGCCAAAGAAATCACTGTTCTGCTTAAAAAATTCTGTCAATTGTTAGGAGCATAGGATGCTATCTTAGACCAGTGGTCCATCTACCTCAGTATTATCTACATTTTCTAGCAGTGACTCTCCATGGTTTCATACAATGAGTCTCTCTAAGCTCTACCTGAATATAAAACAAGTGCTGTACCACTGAGCTACAAGCCTGTTTCCTTCATCCTGTGACTGTTTGAATCTTGTGATTTTATTCTTCATCATTATGCCCTATATCTTCATCTTTGAAACATTTCTTTTTTTCAAATGTTTTTAGATGATCTACATGTTTTCAGATGGTTTTTAGTCATTTTTAAACGACTAATGTTTGCACGTACTTTTGAAAAGTGTGAAGGTCTCCTACCCAATTTAATCCTGAAACCATCTGGCACATGAAAACGTACAGATCCACACGTTCTCTTTTTAGAGAGCAATTGTATGCTTGGGGGGGGGGAATGGTCACAGGTCAATGTCTACACTGGTGCAGCAAACTGATTAGGCTAGCTGCATCAAATCTGGCAAACTCCCTGCTTTATGATGTTGACTTTTGCAGGGCTCACTGTGAAGCTCATGATGTGTAATCATACAAAGCTCAATTGATTTGCGTTCAAAGAGAACACACTGTATGTGGTGGGTGCTGTAAAAAACAACAACCAACAACTCATGAAAACGTCAAGGGCAAAAGCGGTAGAAACAGCTCTGGATGCAAATCACAGGGTTTTATGAAATCAGCGTAGACGTAAGGGATATGATCAACTGATGCTTTCTTCCCATCCTTTTCAATAGGGGTTAATGGGAAGAAGGCTTTTTCAGTGGTGGCCCCACACTTAAGGAATGCCTTCTCCAGATAACCTGGAACCTAAGCTGTGGTCTTTTAGGCATCATCTGAAGACCTCCATGTTCTCCCATCCCTTTTAACTACAATCTGTTCAGCAGGTCAGTTTTCGCACCACGTTTTGTGCTGACCTTCTGCTGGATTTAGTTCTAGCTGTTTTTTTTAATGCTGATTTTAGTGATGGGCAGGGTTTCTGCCAGGCTTTCTGCTTTGCGAGCCATGTTTTTGCCTTAAGGGTATTTTTTAACATGTATTTTGCAACTTATTGCCTGCGTCAACCACCCAGAGAACGTAGTTGGGTGGACAGCAAATGGATGCCATAATTAAACGTGTGTCAAAAAGTAAACACGGCCCACCCCTAATTCTCCCCTCAAATGCCCCTCCCCTCCCTCCACTGGCCTTGGTTTGGCAAACTGCCAATGAAATTGGAACTTAATGAACAGACAAATGGGTAGCAAAAAAAAAAAGGAGGTGCCCTGATTCAGGCAGAACCGTGAATGGGAGGAGGAGGCTGGATGAAGTTTGGAATCAAGGAAGGTCAGGAGGCTGTGGCTCAGAGGCAGAACACTTGCTCTGCATGCCAAAAGGTCCCAGGATCAGTCCCCAGCATCTCCAGGTTCCTAGATCCTGCCCCAAACCCTGGAGAGGCTCTGCCAGTCCATGCCACCAGTCTTGAGCTAGAGGGACCAATGCCCCGACTCAGTAGAGAAGGCAGCTTCCGGTGTTTCTTTTTCTCTGGAGAGAGAGTGTCATTTGGGCTCCACTTCAGGCGGCAAAATGTCTGAGGTCAGCAGTTGGGTAATGTGCAGCTCTGCCCTGATAAGAGGATAGGTGGAGATACGGGAGGCTTATTATATTTGTGCCAACGCATGCTCTTGTGGCAACAACTAAGCTTTCACTGGCAAAAGCAATAAACGTTACAAGGGGAAATGCTTCATGCTGATAAAAGCCCAGGCAGATGACAAGTTACAAAAGCCCCCTCTTGAGATAACCTTGAGACGCACCTGTACATAAAGATTAAACAGCAACCTGTGTGTGGAGATTTATAGCGCTTATCGAGGGCCCTGGTTTCACTATTTACATTTGCAAAACTCAACTTTATTATTGGTTTCTCTCTGTTAATATTTTGTATGGAAACCAGCGTGTGCAATAAAAAAAAAAAGTCATCTCAGAAACGAAGTTTTATTTATTCAAGTTTTACAAAGGCATTTTATGGAATGGTGAATTCTCTCTCTCTCTCTCTCTCTCTCTCTGTGTGTGTGTGTGTGTGTGTGTGTTGGTGTATCCACACATGCACACAATTATACACTAGGCCAGCTTATGGTTCATCAGAAGCAGAGTACATCCGCCTCGTTTGGTGCCTGCCTGAGACTGTAGTGAAGTATTCGTGCGCTTGGCAGGCCAGAGGAAGTGGCTGGAAGGATGCGTTCAGCATGTCAGGTTTTCTCTCTCGCTTTTATTATTATTATTAATATAAAACCCAAAATACAGACAAACATACAAGAAAGCATAATCAAAACAACAAAACATAGGTTCAGCACAGAGGTAATATTTCCCATATAAATAAAGAGCAGTTAATGAGGAAAAATAAAAGCAGCAAAACATATAATGAAAGCTAAATTTCACAATTTGGTGGGGAAAGAGTTTGGCAATATCTGAATTTGACATGTAAAAAACAAAATGCCACCAAACAGGATAGATCTTCTGGGACTTCCTTACACTTACAGACATGCAATCCGTGAGTTATTTTTTCTGCAATAGCCAGAGTCCACATATTCTTATAGCACAATGGGAGGGTTAAGACATCTATTATTTTCCATTTTGGGGCCGAAAAAGGTCTTGCTGCAGCATCCACATTGGAAGTTCTTTAGACTGGAAAAATGCTGTTTGGTTATCCCACAAGTCACAAGTTCAAAAGAGCACGTTGTGGGGAGGCTTGAATGGGGGTGTTTAAATTCTTAAAATATTTATTCAAAAACATCAGTTCAAAATTTGGATGCCAGATGGCATTCCCACTGTAAGTGGGAAAATGTTCCCCTGCTACCACAAGCATGCCAATAAACCTGTGATGGCATTTGATGGCATGAGAGAAAACTTCACACTAGTGTGGCGTCACCTATGCAGAACTTCCCTGAGCTGAGATTAATTTATAGAGCTCAGGTGCCCATCCTGCATTTCACATGGAATCATCTAGTTCCAACTGTAGTTTCTTCTCCCAGGTAAGTTCCCAGGCCCTTCTAATGGGCCCACAGAAATATCAAGAAGTTCTCTATAAAGAAAAGGTACCACTCCTTTGCCTGGGTGACCCAGATTTAATCAAATTCCTTCAAATTTAGTAAGGGGTCCAGTCGCTTGTGCCTTAAGGATCGGCCAATAAATGTTGGAACTGACAAACATGCAACCAATTAAGCCCTGGATCTCCTAAAGCTAACCTGATTTGTTGAATAGAAAAAAGGAAGGAAGGAAGGAGAGAGAGAGAGCACGCAAGATGTACCGTATTTTTCGCTCTATAAGACGCACCAGACCACAAGACGCACCTAGTTTTTGGAGTAGGAAAACAAGAAAAAAAATATTCTGAATCTCAGAAGCCAGAACAGCAAGAGGGATTGCTGCGCAGTGAAAGCAGCAATCCCTCTTGCTGTTCTGGCTTCTGGGATAGCTGCGCAGCCTGCATTCGCTCCCTAAGACACGCACACACTTCCCCTTACTTTTTAGGAGGGAAAAAGTGAGTCTTATAGAGCAAAAAAACCGGTATTTAAGTGTTCATGCTAAGGCTGCAAGCCCATCCTCTGCTAAGGAATGAAATAAATGACTCAAATTGTGCACCTTTGCCAATACGCAACACCAGTCTCCGTGTTGTACCAGATCAGGTTTGGTGTTCCTACACACAGTGTGCATGGAATGCATTTGAGCCACAAACGATGGTACATCTGAGCTGAAAGACTCGCATACAGAGCCTGTGGCAGCATCCACAACAGTAGAATACCGGACTGTGCAGTTTGGTAAAGAAGAGCCTGCAGTCCACAGCGAGGGATTCAGCTACACAGAAAATAGGAGATAGATAGGAGACAGGGCCAAGAAGGTGCTAAAGGTGCCACTGAGCCAAGATGTGATTCCAGGATTTAACCCGGAGGCTGATGGAGCAGATAAAGTTCTGGGGCAGGGTTAGGGTTTTCCAAACTTTCTGGGTGAGCTTGCAGCTTTTTGGGGGGCTCCAGGGATGGTTGAGTTCTGTTCCTGCTCCATTTAACTTAAAAACCAAACAAAAAGCAGCACAACTCTGGCATGCTCATTGTCCTGGACTCTTCATGTTGGATATGAAATCAGAACAGCACAAAGGAGAAGACAATTTCGCCATTGTTTAATCAAATGGAAGACGTAACTTTCCAGACACAAGCAACATGTCAAGTGGGTGTCTCGTGTGGGTGTTCATTGGAGAGCTCAGACTTAGTGGGAGGAGATGCCGTTTGGACTTACAGTACTGTTGGGAAAACAGAAATATTAACTCCAGACAACAGCCTGAAATGGAACAATTAACGTATTGTCAAGAAGGCAATAAAGCATCCTCAATATAAGGGAGCTGTGGGACCGTATCGCTTTCGAATATATTAGCAATCTAGCCAGGAAGAATCCCATTACAATCTGCATATGGCTTAGCTTGACGGATGCTTTTGATAAACCCCAAAAGCTTTGCAGCTCAAAAGCTCTGGTTTTTGTTAGAGAAATAATTATCCCAATTAAAAGTAACAGATGGCGAGGGAAGAGGGGAAGGAAACCACACGGACAAATGGAGTTTGCCTGTGACAACGCAACGCTGGGCAATGCTCAATGTTTTGGCTTCCTTGACAAAGTCACCCTTAAGAGTAGGCTTAGCTTTTTCACACACATGCTGCTGCCTGGGTGGTATTTTCTTGGACTGGTCTTAATACACTGCAAAGGGCAAATTAAACCATGCGTATATTCATATGCATATATAAATGAGCAAATACTCGTTTTTCTCACTAAGAGAGAGGTCGGGCATAGGAAGGGCTCGTTCAGACATGTAGACGCATCGCTGCATTTGTCATCACATTAGCTACTCAGTGCTTGATGACTAGCAGTTGAGTACCTGAACTTGCTCCTTTGATGGCAACATCAGGGATGAAAGTTGAGATCAGGAATACAGTGGTACCTCTGGTTACGAACTTAATTCGTTCTGGAGGTCCGCTCTTGACCTGAAACCATTCTTAACCTGAGGTACCACTTTAGCTAATGGGGTCTCCCGCTGGTGCACGATTTCTGTTCTCATTCTGAGGTAAAGTTCTTAACCCGAGGTACTACTTCCAGGTTAGCGGAGTCTGTAACCCAAGGTATTTGTAACCCAAGGTGTTTGTAACCCGAGGTACCACTGTATATGGGAGATAATGTTTGGTGCTTCACACATTAGAACAGAAGAGCTCTGCTGGATCAGACAAAAGACTTACCAGCATCCTGTAAACCCACAGTGGACAAGCGGATTCCTTTGGCAATGCACTTTCTACTTGTGCATGAAATACCTCTCCTATTGCCTTTGCCAAGACATTGCTTCATGAACTATATCCCTTGTATACTGCCGCTTTTAAAAAAACAAACCACACTCCTGGTTGATAAAGCTCTGGTTTCGAATCACACTCACCTACATATATCAAACCTCTCCTACGCATCTGTTAAATGGCACAGAGAATGGCTTGAGGGCACATGACACAGTTCTCCTGCTGTCGTGAAGCCGTCTTCAGACTGGTCCTGTAGTCTGTCTGGATAGGAGACTCCTGGGGCCATATATAAGCTGCTCTGAATTCCTTGGAAGAAATGTGGAAAGGAAGGACTGCCTCATCCATTGAGAGCCATCGCATGATCAAGTGATGATTTTACTTCTGTGAAACAGGCATAACAGATTAAACCCACAGAGAGCCCATTCTGACGGCATGGCGTTTTTATTCTGCCCTTCAGGTATTTGCCACCCAAGGTGGTTTGCAGGATGCAGCTTACACACTGGGCTGCAAATTATCAGCAATAAGCCGCTGAGTTAGGCACATGCATTAAAATTGCTTTTATAATCACTCTGATAGTGACGACAACAGGGAGATTAAACAAGATCACGGGCTCGCCAATCTTGGGCATACAGCCATGTATGCAGGCAGCTTTGAAATATCTGGTTGGCATTCACATCTCATACCTTTCAAGAAGAAATTTGCTTTGCTACACACATAATTTGTATACATTTTGTTGAACGGGATTTATGTACCACGTAATCATCAGAACCTCTAAGTGCCTCCATAAAACAACACAAAACCTCCACTTAAAAATACCAATAAAATCAAACTTCAAAAACCAGTTGATCTAAGGTTTCTCAAAATATAAGTAAAATCAGCAGGGCTTCTTTAAAAATAAAGAAAAGAGCATGTTAAAATTAAATGTCTAGGCTTGCCTAAACAAAAATGTTTTTAACCAGGTACAAAAGCAATACAGTAAATGCACCTGCTTAAAGTTTTTCTTTGGTTTGAAATATTTACCTCTGATCCTTGCAGGAGGAATTCTTGGAACAGTGGATGTGCTACCATCATTTCTGTATATACCCCAGCATGCCTTGGGGTATTTCCAGCTTCCTGTGCAGATTCAGGGACACAGAATCAGACCATCGGCCCATCTAGCTCAAGCACCACTCCCAGGGACTTAGGCAGGATTCCCTCCCGGTCCTCCCTAGAGATACCAGGGATTGAACATGGAGCCTTCTGCATTCAAACCAGATGCTGTACCAGAGCTGGGGCCTTCCCTAAGCTGGATTAAGAGTGTGCCTCTTTCATAAGGTGAAAGTGCAACGCAGTGGAAGAAGACTCCTTGACCATGTGCCTTTTCTTCCCATCCCATTGCTGTTCCTTTTTCTCAGATACTAGAGTGTCAACTCTGCTTATGGTGCAGATGATGATGTTATAAGGCAGCAAACATACCGCACCTCGGGCCAGTGTTTCCAGTGCCGATTGCGCAGAGGGTCGGAGGGCGCGTGCCAATAGCACACGCTATTTCCGGTGCACTTCTGGGTCGGAGGAGCACTGGAAATAGCTTGTGCGCCTGTGCACGGGCCTTCTCCGCCCTGGAAATAACGCTTGTGCATGTGCACAAGCTATTTCTGGTGCTTCTCTGACCTGGAAGTGCAGGCGGCGGCAGAGGGTGGCGGGGGTCACCGTGGGCCGGATAAACGAGTCCCTCGGGCCTTATCCGGCCTGCGGGCCTTAGTTTGGGGACCCCTGTTATAAGCTATAAACCTGGAATAGCAAAATTCATTATAGGTGGACAATAGCTGGGTATATTCACCGAAGGGAGAGAACGAAGAGCGGGAAAACCACCACTGTCCCCCTAAAGTGTGGAGTTTTTCTACTGCTAGGTGGTTCATTCAGATCTTGTGTAGTTTACCTGCAAACAGTAATGCCAGTGGAATTTATCAGAATTCAGGGGAAATAAGCAAGGCATTGAGGAATGCCCCTGCACTTACATGACTCCTTACCTAAACAGTCGAAAGTTGCCGGAGGCTCTATAAGGGTCTAGCGGTCAGTGATGAGACAGGCGCCAGGCTAAGCGGCCAAGTGTCAGCTGGGAAGCGTCAGATCAGATAAGTGTGATCCATCTTCTGAACAGCGTGGAGACATTTTCCAGAAAGAAGGCACCACCAAGACTGCAGTTGCAGAGGAGAAAGCTGTTGTTTCATGCAGGGCTTTCCCATTCTCCCCTTGTACATCTGATGAAGAGAGCTGTGTAGAATATCTTTGAAAATGGTCTCCCTCAGCAACCTCCCCCTCCCCCACTATCTTCTCCGTCTTTCAGTCTCCAGGGCGCTTCTTGGGGTAGAAGGTATTCACCAACATCCATTCTGGAAGACGCAAAGAGCGAGTCCACACATAAACTATGGCTTGGCATTAACAAGCTTCAGCTCGTGGTCCTGCTAAACCTCTATCTGGACAGGATGACCTGTCTTCTGTTGTCTACGTAACCCCTGGGTTAGATTACTGCAATGTAACATATGTGGGGTTGCCTGTGCAGATGGTTTGGAAACTGTAGCTAGCACAGAATTTGGTGGTCAGCTTGCTCACTGGGGCAAGACGGTTTGAGTATGTAACACCAATTCTGGCCCAACTGTACTGGCTACCAACTAGTTTCCAGACCCAATTCACAGTGCTGGTTTTGATCTATGAAGCCTTATGTGGCTTAGGAACCCAATACAGTGGTACCTCGGGTTACAAACACTTCGGGTTACAAATGCTTCATGTTACAAACTCCACTAACCCAGAAGTAGTTGCTCCGGGTTGCAAACTTTGCTCCAGGATGAGAATGGAAATTGCACGCTGGCGGCAGTGGGAGGCCCCATTAGTGAAAGTGCGCCTCAGGTTAAGAACAGTTTTGGGTTAAGAACGGAGCTCCGGAACGAATTAAGTTCGTAACCCGAAGTACCACTGTACCTCAAGAACTGCCTCTCCCCAACCTGAACCCTGAAATCATCCTCTGAGGTCCTTCTTTGTGTGCCTCCTCCATGAGAGGTCCATAGGGCAGCAACATGAGAATGGGTCTTTTCAGTGGTGGGTCCCTACTTGCAGAACGCTCTCCCCAGGAAGGCTCACTTGGCACCATCATTACATATATTTAGGTGCCAGGCTAAAACATTTCTCTTCTGGCACATCTTTGGTTTTTAGTTATCTGTAGCCTTTTTTGGTGGGTGGGTTGTTTTAACTCTGCCTTTTAAAAATAGGAATGTGTTTTAGATGTTTTCTATGTTCTGTTTTATGCTGGCTTTAATGTAAATGTTGTTGTGGTTATTGCTGGTTTGTGTCTGTGGAGTCTTTTCATGCACAACTTTGGAACCAGGTCTGTCTATATGTTTGAGATGCCCACCAGCAGATTGCTCTCTGTGGGGCAGCTTCCTGCACTTGTGGGTCTCACATTACAGACATAGCTGTTGGGCAGCTATGAGCCAGTGTTTATATTTCCCACAATGCCCCTGATGTAACGTTGCTCTGTGTCACTGTGCCAGGCCTAAATGGCTGTCCGCAGTGGAGGTTTCCAGTTAAGTTTTCCACAGCATTTCGGAGCATTGTTACATCAGGGGATTGCAAGAATTTAAATGGTAGTTCAAAGACTGGGCCACTTGGAACAATGGGCTCAGGTCACCAGGGAGCCAAGAGTCACAGCAGTAGATTTTCGGCCTAATGGAAACTGTCTCCCTTTTATATCTACTCTCAGTGCGTAACAATGATGTACAATCTCCACAACCACCAAGATCCAAAACCACACACACTTGTTTCTTCAAAGAAGAAAATCTATTTTTTTTAAAAAAGAACTCCACCCTATTGGTGGAAAGGTTTTGTAACAAAAACTTCCATATCGAGTAAGTCCAGAGCAATCCAGAGTAATAATAAGGGGTTGTTCCATACAAAATGCTTTATTTATCCTTCATGCCTCCACTCAGATATTTATACCAATGCATACATTTAAAGGTTTAAACTCTATTTCAATTCACAGCTCAATTCATAGGAAAGTTGAATACATAAAAGCAATGCACCAACAGAAATATGTCTGAGACAACATTAAAAACGTTAACACTTGTTCATGAAGTAATTGTCCTCTGATGGGGTTTCTTTAGGGGGAACTCCCTTCACAATGATCATCGGGCGAACGGAACAAGAAAAAGAAACCACCCTTTTACAGTAAAGAAGAGGAAAAGCTCTGAGTATATTTACAATACATACACTATACATAAATACAAGAACAACACATACATAATCATTAACCAACTGATAACATAGGCGTTGCTTAACCGCTATGTAGCATATTAAACGCACAGGAAGAAAACTACTGGGAAAGTAAATGCCTTTAAATAAAAAGAAAAAAAAGAAAAAGAAACATGTTTGCACTTAAAACCATTTGAAACGTAATGAAGAAAAAATTAAGGAACTACGGTTTTGCTCACTAGCACTGGTGTACTTAATACTTTTGGGGTGTATGGATACTCGGCTCACTGGCTAATGGCTGCCGTATTCGAACAGGAAAGAGGACTGAATACTGCTCTACTGCTACACCCTGGGTTGAAGCTACCCTTCTAGTTTGCAGAGAGGGCATGAACGCTAGGATATTGCTTCATGAGGATCCGCCATTCGTTAATAACCTGTCCTCTTCCCCTCATCCTCAAAGCACCAGTTGACCTCCCCTTTCAACAGGAACCAGCAAACACAAATTGAGCAGCATTTGAATGATTCTTTAGACCAGATAATGCATCTAAAGCATATGTGGGGAAACAATGAATGGCGAATCCCCTTGTCCCTGGCCATCGGTCATGCTTGTTGCGGCTGATGGGACAGCAACATATGGCCGGCCAAAGGTTCCCCGCACGTGCTTTTGGCCTGTCATTGGTTATACCATTTGCCTCCCCTCCTCATGGTAGCAAGCAGCAGAGAAGCCTTAAAGGGATGTTTTGGATAGTACCCTATTTTAAAGAGAGGAGCAGCAAAATAATAATTCAGTTATACCATGCAGGGATAATGTCAAATGCCTGCGCAACTTGTGACCCGCTATCTACGTCATGACCTCTGTGCTTAACTTCCCTGCCCTGTTTTTGAGGTCTCATTCAGACAGCAAAAAGGAAGCATCGAATGGGATCTGGTAGGCTGTGTTCAGACTGATGGGCCCGTTACACGGCTTGTGGTCTCGTTTCCAAGCCAGTGGAAGGTCAAGGATTGTTAACTTAGATTTATGGACAAGTAGGGTGTCCCTTTCACAAGCTTTTCCCCCCTCCTGGTCACAATCTGCTTTGTCTTCTCGTTCAATAATGACTGGGCAAGGAAACTTCCCGTGCAATATTCCTCCAAGTACGTATACGTACTTATATTTCTGAATTGCCTCCACTGCTGATTCCTCCAGGAAAGGGGAAATGCTATTTTATACTGAGAGAAAAGTGAAGAAAACTGAGGGCTACAAGTGATTCAGTCTCTTTGCTTGTGTTCATTTACTCCCCCTCTCTGATTAACCCTCGTTCGTGCAAACAAATCAGAGGCTGAAATTAATTAAGGGGTGATCATTAAACGCTTTGCATGGCAAATATAAATTAAACAATGAGTCGAATATATTTAAAACATGGGTGTTTTTAAAGCCTGCGTTGATCGTGTGTTGTAAGACTAAAGTATAAATCAGGGATTGTTGAAAATTATTTCAGTACCTCTCAAAGTTGTCAAGTGAGCATTCTATTACCTTCTTGCTAGTTCTAAGACGAAACCCAGTTCTTTAAAAATTGAAAAGCCCTGCCGACCCACTCGCTGTGACATTTATTGCCGTTCTAGGGTTATTTCTGAAATGTTAGAAAAAGGGTATTGTTCAGCGAGTTAAAAGGGAGGCATTAAGTCCCACGACTTTTAATCAAAAGAGCCTGTGCAGCTTGATCATCCTGCATCAGCTTACTTGGTAGTAAGGAAAATCGGACTGCACATCAGCTGCCAATGTGGTGTAAAATATGTGGCTGGGCATGAAATAGAAAAAAAATACCGACTTCATTTTAGCAGTGACGTCCATGGTTGGAATTAGTAGGCAACACTCCAAAAACTATTGGTGGCAGGATTTGGGAAAGAATAGAAATGCTATACATCTACAACAGATTGACTTGATGCTACCATGGAACTTTTTCTAAGTCACTTGTAAATTTATTTCCCCCTCCTGGGCAATGGGAAATCCCATCAACATTGGACAGAATAGGTAAATTGAAAACTGAAGAGAGTAGACAAATGGCACTTTGTGATTCGCTGTGTTGCATTCGCATGAACCCAGTGTAACCTCCCTGCCCGCCCCCCCCCATTGAAACCAGAATTGTATAACAATTCAATTACAGTTTATTGCTATGTAAAAAGAATAGGGAACACCCCCATCTTCCCTAATGTTCACAGACAGGCACTTTTCAAATTGTTTCACCTCTGGAGATTTATTTGTAGAGATTCTTACAAAAAGGTATCTGATCATTATAATATTCTTACTTTGGACATTGACCTGTTGAGGATTTTCTGTGGCAGGCAATGCTGGGTTCACAGCTTCCCCCCAGCACCCAAATGCCTCGTGCTTGGGATTGTCTGCAAATTGATTTATGCCCTTCTTCTTTTTTTATGAAGGATGAATAATGAGACCCGGGGATGCCCTAGGATGCTTGCTTAAGTGTGCAAACCAACTCAGAATCTTTTTAGATCTACAAATATATCTGAAAGGTTAAATTCTGCTGGAATCAGTTAAGAATGACTGCCTCTTTTCGCGGGGCAGAGGCATTCTTCTGAAGAGTTTACAGGAGGAAAACCAGAAGAATAACAATTAATGAAAAGTCCACCATATTAAACAATAAAAATAATGCCTTCTTGTATGCGAGATCTTCACCCCGCCACCAGCAGTGAGCTGATCACAAAATATGGGCCGTTATCTCGCAACAAATCCAAGTCTCACGTTAATTGGCCCTAGAGGCCACATCACACATTACTACTTCTGCTTTCCAGGCTAGAAAAATAGGCTCCTCCATATAGTGTATTAATTAATTGCAGGGAGAGTATCTTTCTCTCTTTCTGGCCAGGTTATGGGCACGAGAAAGCCATCATGTGCATTGGCTTCCGAACAGGCGTCACCAGAGTGAAGACATCCATATTTGGCCACCCTGTAAACAGACTGCTGTTATTACTCTACTTAACTGAAAGTAGTAAGATGTGAAGTGCCCTCTGTCTGAAAGCCTAGATTATTCATTTTCCCTGCTAAAAGCTTAAAAGGTTACTATTGGGAAGAATAATCAGAAAATCTGCAGATGAAGGCCAAGTTGCAGAGAACGACATTAAGTATATTAAAGGGCTTGTACAGTATTTTTTTAAAAAACAACCTTATTTTTAGTTATTTTCTTTGAACTGTAGACCACCCCCACCCATATTCCCATGCCATATTATGGATTGTTAGTGAGACACGTGCCAGTTTCAAACGTGGTTCAGCATGCAGCATGGCGGCGCTGCTGGTTGAGGAACCCAAAACGGAACACATTGGGCAAATGGAACTTGGTTATTTGGATTCTGGCCATTGATAATTTCGTTTTGCTTCCCCCCACTCTAGCTTGCAGAAATTCAAAGTGACTCCACTGTCTAGTGACACAACCTCAGGTAATACAAAGCCAAGTGTACATGATACAACAGGAACATGCTTTGACAAACTGGAACATTCTTTCCCACCTCTTAAAATTGTTAATTGCATTATGAAAGCTTTACAATGCATTTTCTGAGCACATTTTTTTTTTTTTTGGGTGATGACAACTAAAAGCTTGTTTCAAAAACCATCCTTCATTTCAATTATTTACATCCTGTGAAAAACTGTGAGCTTGAAAATACTTCTTCACTATCACATAATATATTACAGAATATTGAAACTGTTACAAGTACAGTAAAATACCTTCAATTCTATTTTCTTTCTTTCTTTGTTGTAAAGAAGCAGTATCCATATAATTGAGGTCCATACTAAAAAACGGTGTTGGTACTGCAATCGGTTTAATGTCAGCATATTTAAAAGTACCAATGGGCATGATTGGTTGAGTACACATTGCACGGTTACGGATATTTTTTTTAAAATGAAACTGTGAAAATATAGCAGTTTTAACTTTATACATCTTCATCTATAAAACACAGGCAAAGGCATAATACAGTAATACAAGCTGGTTTCCTAATAAGGTAAAATTATTTTAGCCTAAAGAAAAGCTATTTCCAACTCTGTCTCTTTTTTTAAAATTCTTGAAAGCAATACTAGATCTTAGTTCAGATCACACACATGCGCACAATTAGCCATATGCACTTGTGTGGGGACATGTAGGGAAGTTCATGGGGGCAGAAGGGCACTGACGGTTGCTTATGCTTAGCGAACATCATTTTCTATGTGAAAAGAGCGAACAAATCAATGTTTTAAATATAATTATACACTATTTATTTTGATGTATTTATTTCCATTACCCCCCCCAAAAAAAAAACCTGAAAGGGCTCATGAGTTTTATTTATCGTGCAAGAATTTATCGATTATCAAAGACACCCTCGTACAAAGATATATTTGCAAAGATATACCGGTATTTGCAAAGATATATTTGCTTCAATACGGCTTTGGGAAGGCGTGACATACAAGAACTTCTCCTGAATGGATAAATCTCATCAAGGAAAGCTCCCAAAATGGGAATATCAATCTAGCAACACCAGTCACTCAACCTTAATCTAAATAAGATGATTTCATCCAAGGGAATAAAATCAACAGAGGAGGACACAAGGAGCAACTGCATCTGAATTCCGTGTGTGAACTCATATTGCAAAAGGCTGCTCTCAAAAGGGATCGCTTGCTTCATCTTTCCAAACAAATGAGTTGGAGGAGATGGTGATATGCTCAGGATCACCACATTTGCATCGTACTGTGTTCATTATATGCTGGGCTGGTTTAGGTGGGATGCTTGCAGTTTACAACCAAAGAGCAGCATCAGGTGTGAGGCTGGCCAGAAAATGATGTAGGTCGTGTTAGCGAAAGGCCAGTTCACACACTCACTGGGCGTAGTGCCCAGTACACACAAATGTGGGCACATACATCCCCCCTTCCACCATGAATATCAGGAGGAAACGAGTACATGAATCGGGACTAAGAGTGAAACAATGTGCTGCACAGAAGAACCCACATCACATTGCGCCGCCTTCTATGTGCATTAGACCCTTGGCTCTGTGAGTGCATCGATCAGTCAACATTTAAGCAATCTTTTCTGTTTCCGTTTGGTTTCTATTGGTTCAGTGTTGCTTTAATTCTTCTATCAGAAGAACGAGACTTGGCTGCATTGGATTCATGGAAAGGAAACTCAACCTGGGTGCTGTTTAGTGAAAATATTGTCAGATTCCAACCACCTTGATAGGGATTCTACGGATTTCTGCATGAGTTTGAGTGGGCTATGGCTGCATAAGCCAGGGCACAATACCATTACCATCGTAACAGGGGAGCTCTTCTGCATGTATCATTTACATGGCACAATTTTAAGGAGAATGCATTACTGCAGCATATTTGGAAAAGAGAGAGAACCCCTTTCTGTTCTAACAAACAAATAAACAGAGAAGAGATGCATCTATGTTAACTTCTTCAATCCTAACGGACCCTTTTCTTTGATGGCAAGCTACTTTTAACCCTAGTGCTAAGAACAAAAGCCTCTCCACACTTCCTTTGGGGAAGCCAGTTCTCTTGCCTACTGATTAACGTGGCCCCAAACAGACCAATTTCATTTTTAAAAAATCTCTTCCCATTTATAAGCCGTGAATAAACAGGAGCTCCTTCACAGTGTGACACAATGAGGCTAACTTATGCAGATTCCTAGCTAAATGTTATGCCAAATGTTTAGAAATTTGTTTTGTGTCCACCCAGAGCTCCACAAGCGCAGAGGGAAGCATTTTCACATCAATGGTCTCCCTTCTCATAGAAGGGAATGGGAAGCCCCAGTATGTATTGGACTACCATTGCACAATGAGAACCTCTCGATCTTTATTTAGGCATCAGTTAGGAAAAGCTAAAATACAAAAAGTCGCCCATCTCTTGTCATATTCAGGTCACACTAACAAAGTCAAAACTGCTTTTTGAAATGACAGGGGGTTGGGGAAGCTCACCTAGGAATTCCCCCCATTCTCTGAACATTGTGTCATGCTGAATTTTGTTCTCTGGGTGATATAGTGAAGGGTTGGCTGATTTATCCTGCACTAAGAGCGACTTCTTGGGAATGATCCAAACACAGTTAAACAAGTATAATCCTACTTAATGTGAATAGGGGTGTTAAGTACATGCTCAATTCTCATGGAAGCCCATGGAACTTGGAAGTGTCTCGGTTTGCCTGGCTCCTGAAGATAGACTTACGGAATTTGCACTCTCTATGTACTCTGCTTGGTATAACTTGCACACACTTGTATAAAATGTGTGCAATTTCTGTGGGCTTGGGTGAGGGGCAGGGCTGGTGGATTGTGTCCTTCGATTCTCTCCTTTTGGCGATAATTTCATCCTCAAGAAACAACTCACAGATGTTAGGATATATGACACATCCCATTGCCAGCTGAGTATTTTAGACATCTGGGGTGACCCAGAGCTGTGGTATGGCTAATTCTTAAGAAAGCCATTATAAATAAGTGAGCAAGCATAGTTCTCTCCAGGGAACTCCCTGAATCTCCCTTTGTTTTAATGGACAGATTTGAATTCTTCATATAGGCTGCTACCTAGAAAGCCAATTCGTAGAAGCTTGCTTATTATGATTTACAATTATGCTTATCCACCTTCTAGTCACATGTTCCTATCCCCGAACTACCAAACTTCTCCAGCCAAAGACTGATAAGCTGTGTGCCAGTGAGGGAATTAAGACCGGCCCTTTCGAAAAAGGAGACATACAGTGTGGTCCCATTTGTCTCCTACTAAGCCCACTTCCGATGGTCCTTTCGGCTAAAAATCGGGAGGCAGGCACTAAATGCATGTATTGCTGCTGTGACAGGGGCAACTGTAGGCTCCCCACACTTCTTGGTATGTTATCAATAACATCATCTGGTATGTTCTATACTTACCATATTTTATTCTCTGTTTTGAATGCGCGTCTTACATTTGACTTCATCTAGCAATGTTTTATTTTGAAATCTTTAGGACTAGACTTTAGCTTCCCATTCATGTTGCCTTGAATGTGTACTTAACTTTCTCCAGTAACGTTTTATTCCGGATTGTTTTCGCTGACCTTTTAATGTAGGTTGTAAACTGCTTTGATTTTTTTCTTTCTTAAAATTTTTAAAGCAGTATAGAAATGAAATTAATAATAACCATAATTATCATCTTTAAGAATATTTTAAGCCAGTCTGTGAGAAGTCAGGCTTTGTGGCCTGCTCAATGCTTCATTTTCTTTCTGCCTTTTTTGTTTTGTTTTTGCAGCCTGTCTCATCTATTATAAACAGGAGCTAGGGGAAGTTTTTACCATCATTTGAGCAACACGATCAGAGCAAGAGAGTGAGATGGCTGGCCTATTGTTTCTCAGGGACTTTCAGGCAAAATCTGCCCACGAGAGCTACTTTCTTCCAGAAGAAAATGTTACTAGAATCAGTGAATCCCACCTGTCAAAACTGCTTCTTGACCTACATGGAGCAGACATTTGGCTCCAGATAGTCATTCTCCAGACATTTTTGGAATGCCTGCCCACTCTGCCTCAACCCAGCACAACTTAGTCATGACTAAGTTTTGCCGAAACCAACAGACGACTTACCCCGACTAGCTGTTGCTTTTAATAAGACTTGTTCACAGCGACATTTTCTGGACTGAGGTTCTATGTTTAGGAAACAGCAAGTGTTTGGAGACCTCACTTAAAGTAGCTTCTTCCTGACTACTCCTGCCATTGATGTTGACGCATTCAATTCCCTTTCAGAAACAGCTATTCTTAGAGGCTGGAGCTCTAAGCACATTTACACTGAAAGTAAATTCCTCAAGCAAGTCGGAGGGCCGCTTCACATGTGTGCATTCAGCATGGTGGCTGTGGAATCGACTCGATGGACCTGCATGTGTGAATGAGCATTGCAGATCAAGCAGTACAGATCTTAAGGTTTTATCCCATCCCATCCCGCAATGTTGTGCAATGGAATCAGTTCACACATTCAGTTAAGGTGTCAACACCTGCTGATTAGGGAAGAAATGAGAGACAAAGCAACGTACATGTATGTTTGAACATTACTCACTTTCAAGTAAATATGCAGGGGGTAAATGTGTTGGTTTAGGGATGGTGGGTCAAACTTTTTTTTCTACTGTGCAGCCAGGATGTTACATTTTAATGGTCTCTTCCTGTTATAAATTAAGCAAACAGATGTAGAGAGGGTTATTTCACACTGAAATGTTACTGGTGCCTGTTTTATAGATTCTAACAAAAACAGAGATTTACTTTAAATAAGGATTAAAAAAAAATAGTGGCTTCTAGAGTCTGGCATGATGACAGAGGGGTAAATATGTAAAATACCGCCATCTTTATTGCATAAGTGTACTGAGGAATCCTTTCGCTTCAAGGAGATTCGTTTGTATCCCTCCTCTTTCCACTCGCTAGAGCTGGCTTTGTAGATTGTTGATCGCTCAACAATCAGGCGTGGTGATATTCTGCCGTGTTTCGATAATAATCTTTAAAAAAAGGCGGCGGCGGCAGAAAGAGAAACAGGTGAAGAGGAGCTCCAGGAAGCTTGTTCTTTCCAAATGTTTATGATATCCGGTTTTTGTGATAGCAGTAATTCTTCAGCAGGAAAAAAAAAAAAGGTGTGAGAAAAGGTACAAGCCATAAATACTTTTAAAAGGACATGGGTTAGAAAATAATGCCCACTCTTGTCGCATTCAGGCTATCATCTCCCAGCTGAAGGTGATAACTTTGCCCATGCTGGAAAGCCGACTTCAGATGGGAGACAGAACAGTGGCACTACACTTCCTGCTTCTTTGTGTATATGGGACAACGTGGAACGCCCCCTTTTGTGCTAACGCCATCAAAACGGGATTCAGCCCTGCTGAATTCGCTGTAGTTAAAAGAGACCCAGCTCTTGGTACTTCCTTTTTTTTTTGGTGGGGAGAGGGGAGAATGTAGCCTTTTTCAGACAAGCATGTGCCTTCGGCGGTGCAACGCCAAGTGATCCGAACGAGAAAAGCTTCTATCACAGTCTGCGCACTTGAAGGGCTTGACTCCCGTGTGTTTGCGGTAGTGCCTCGTCAGTTCGTCTGAACGGGCAAACTTCCAGGTGCAGCCCTCCCAGGTGCACTTGTATGGTTTCTCTCCTAGGAGACAAGGGGGAAAGGAATCGTCATACTGGGTTCAGAAACCTTGGCAAGCTTAGTCTAGGAAAGGCAGATCAAAGAGAGAGACCTGGTGCTCATGCAACATTGCAAATCACTTACCTGCCATACCTTGCGAGAACGGATATCATCAAGTCTCTAAAGTGTCAGGATTCAAGCCTGCAATGGTCTTGAACTGGAATTTCTGGGTGGTGACGGTGTCAGATGTCACTACTACATAACTCAGGCCAAAGGCAATTGGTCATTCCAGCAAGGAAGACTCTTTACACCAAGGATGGGGAGCTTGCTGCCCGCTGGATGTCATTGGACTCCAACTCCCAGCAGCCCCAAGCAGCAAAGTCAATGGCCAAGGATGCTGGGAGTTGTAGTCCAAGCCACGCCTGCTTTACAGCAATTGGCCACATTTTACCCCTGGCCCCTAACAAAGGCTTTTGTTTTAAGCTTGAGTACTGGTCTGACCTATCGTTGCTCCTTGATGATTAATTGAATTTATATACCTCCCTATACCTGCGGTTCACAGAATAAAATCAAAATATAAAACCACAAAATGCATACTCAACATAAAAACAACAGCAATCCAACAAGCTCCACCCTCAAACAACCCCCCTTTCACCTGGCTAGCCAGTAGTACATGTGAAAAGGATTTAGAGGTCTTGGTGGACCACAAGCTTAACATGAGTCCACAGTGGGATGCAGCAGCAAAAAGTGGCTAATGCTCTTCTAGGCTGCTTCAACAGAAGTATAATGTCCACGTCAAAGGAAGTAATTGTCCGGCTCTGTTCTGTCTTGGTTAGACCACACATGGAGTACTATGCCTAGTTCTGGGAGCCAAAAGATGGATACTGAAAAGGTGGAACATGTGCAGAGGAGGGCAACCAAGACGACCAAGAATCTTGAAAACAAGCCTTATGAGGAACGGTTGAAGGAGCTGCGTAAGTTTAGCTCAGAAAAGAGGAGACTGAGAGGTTAGCCATCTTCTAATACCTTAAGGGCTGTCACACTGAAGATGGAGAGAGATTGTTTTCTTCTGCTCTAGAGACCTGAACCAATGGCTTCAAGGTACAAGAAGGGAGATTCTGATTAAACATCAGGAAGAACTTTCTGACAGTAAGAGTTGTGGACTTTCCTTCATTGGCAGTTTTTAAGTAGAAGTTGGATGGCCATCTGTCATGGATACTTTAGTTGAGATTCCTGCATTGCAGGGGGTTGGACTAGATGACCCTCAGGGTCCCTTCCAACCCTACAATTCTATGATTCTATGACCCTCTGGCTTAAACCCAAAAGAAGCTGGGCTGGCAACAACAACTTGATAATCCACATTTCTTCAGAGCTGCCAGATTATTGTAGCCAAGAGGATTTCTATCCTTGGCATTGCCGAATTGAAGCAATGGAAGAACAGTTGTTTCACCTGGTTTAGTAGTGTTATCCTAGATTGAAATGTTCACATGTTCACAGCAACAACAGTGAAGGCTGTGGCATTGCTGTGTATCCCACCCTCAAGTCAAATGCCAAATGCTAACAGACAGTTGAAATATTTTTATTCATATCTAGATGGTCACGTTATTGGGCCCCAGGAATTTGGCAGCTGGTATATGGGCACGAACCGAGCGACAGATGGCCTGGCAATTGCTAAAGACAGCATGCATTGAAATGCAGTATGACATACTCTCGCCACAAACAGCTGGCTAGCAATCCCATACCAACACACCAATATATCTCCTCTGACTTGGAAGAAGTCCATAGCCAGAAATCTGGCAACTACAGAGGAAGTGACATAGGTCTATAAGGAAATGAAGGAAACAGGTCATCTGACATGTCTAAACTACAGTTATTAATTCGGAAAATAACAAGAACCTGCTGGATGAGGCCAGTGGTCCACCTAGTCCAGCATCCTGTTCTGAGAGCGACCTGTGCAAAGCCTGCAAGGTGGACATGAGTGCATCAACACAATTCACTGGGAATTGTTGTTGACATCTGTTTGTCTCAAGAGAGTATGGAGTGTGCCTCCAGGGGTGAAGTCAAACTGCTGTGTTAGCAGCAAGTGAACTCCTTGGCGTGCAAACCTGGGCAGTGTGTCTGGCGGTCCTGGGACGCCCAGACGATAAGACCCCTTCTTGACCTCACTAATGTGGTCCAAAGGAAAGCAAAGCAATGTGTTTAGCACCAGCTTGGCTACAGGAGTTGCCGGAAGAAGGAATGCAAGACGCCATCCATCTTAGGACTCCACTCTGGATTTGGGTAGGGTTTACTCCTTAGCCTTTTCTACTCCCAAAGAGTAGACTTAATTTATTTAAATGCTGATTGCCCATCCACTTGTTCTTAAACTAGCAATAAAAATGTCAAGGACCCGCTAATCTGTTATGAAGCTAGGGAAACATTTGATCATGCCCTGTTCTCCCTTCATTCACCAATACAGTGGTGCCCCGCAAGACGAATGCCTCGCAAGACGAAAAACTCGCTAGACGAAAGGGTTTTCCGTTTTTTGAGTCATTCCGCAAGACGAATTTCCCTATGGGCTTGCTTCACAAGACGAAACGTCTTGCGAGTTTGTTTCCTTTTTCTTAAAGCCGCTAAGCCGTTAATAGTCGCTAAGCCGTTAATAGTCGCTAAGCCGCTAATAGCCGTGCTTCGCAAGACGGAAAAACCGCGAGACGAAGAGACTCGCGGAACGGATTAATTTCGTCTTGCGAGGCACCACTGTATATGGAAGGAAAATAAGAAAGTCACCACTGTTCCTCTTGTGTGTCAATCATCCCATTGCTTTTCTTAAATTGGCACACAACACTGGAAGGCAGTAGTAGAGTCTTGTTTCTCACTGAGCACATGGTCTCCCCATGTCCCGTCCTTCTATCTAATCCAGCCTGGTGATCTTCAGACATTGTTGGACACAAACTACCATCAGCCCTAGACAATGTTCAGAGATGATGGGAGCTGGAGACACCTGAAAAGCACCAGGTTTGAGAGGACAGCTATACAGTACTCTACATATTTTGTATCTTAAGAACATAAAAAGAGTCCATCTAGATCAGTCCATCTTTCTCCTTGCATCCTGTTTCCAATGATGGGCAGTCAGATTCTTCCAATTTAAGCATAAAGGCCCGACTCTTAAGCAAGCTCAACATTTAGGGAAGAAGATTCATCTTGTCTGGCAAGTCTTGTTTTGTTTTCATGGTGGAAAAAGGGAGGGGTGGCATCAGAAACCAAGAGAACAAAAGGAGAGGCAGAATCTCAAGCTAGTGCTGAGCGCTAGTAATTTATTATTACAAATAAATTGCCCAATGCTTTTCAATAGAAATCCTTTTGAAAGGACATTCTCCCAGTGAGCTGTTTTAGCTGGCGTACTGAACTAAGAATATGTGCACGACCTTTTGCCCCTAAAGAAGAGTTTCCATGCAATAATAAATGACTACTTCTGAGCACCAACAGCTCCTCCTCACCTTTTGTTCTCTCTACCCCCACTCCCCCCATTTCATGGCCACAATCCAAAACAGAGCTTTTGTTTCCAACACATGGGATTCAGAGCGCTTGCATCTGTGCTGGATTGTGGCCTATATGTTTACATGTTCTCTCATGAAGAGTTTACCCCACAGCTAGTGATGGGCGGATCTGTTCATTTCATGTCCTCCAGTCTTCAGTTCTCCACATTTCCACACCAGCCTGCAATTGTTATTTTCTCCATCAGCATTTTAGTGTAATTTTCTCTGAATTTTGCCTAACAAACACATTTTTACAGAGCAATTTCCGCTAATAAAACACATTTTTGTATGCTGTTTTCACTGATATGTGCATTTCTATGCACACTTTGCTCTATTATATGCATTTTTCGAACCCCTTGCCTGCCTGGAGAATTGCACCGAAAAAAATAATATTAGGAGAATTGCTAATTCCACAGGACGGCTGTGTTTTTCATTTCTCGTGCTGTTTTAGAAAGAGCAAATTGGGTTGGTTCTCCTTTCAATACGAACTGCATTTAATTTCTCCTCCCGCACCGTCCCACCCCACTCCCCAAATTTAAGCACCACTGAATGCAAGCCCATAGCTTTTCGTGTGCTCCTGATTGTTCCTCTGCAACAGGATCAGCATTTGTTGCTGTTAAAATTCATCACCAAACGCAAGACCCATCATTTTCATACGATTTCAGGAGGCTGGCTGGCAGGCAGACCTGCTCCAACCCACAGAGGGTCAGCCACTTATGGATCCACCCTGCTGAACCAAAGTGGATCCTCAACCTCTGCTCTATTCACTGCTACAGGTAGCCTCAAGAACCACCTTTGTAGCTACTGTTAGTGGAATATCTGCCACCTCTTCCATGAGTCTCCCACACCAGGTCAGGGCGACGTAAAAACTCACAGGACTATCTTAACAGCAAGCTTAGAACACCACAACCTTGGGAAAATTGCACTAGCTGAGTTTAGAATTGGCTCCCACCCACCCCCTTCGTTGGTTTTGCTGGATCAAAATGAAAAACCGGCATTCCCCGTCTCCTTGAATCACCAGTACACTGCACCCCAAAGCTATTGATGGCTTCAGCTCCACTTTCCAGTGCATTTTGAGCAGATAAAGTTGAAGATTAGGTAAAGATAGTTATAGTTGGCAGCCGGAGGGTAAGCTATAATAAACTATAATTTGCAGGTTTGACTCTAACCCAAAGGAGACCTTAGTCATTTTTCAGCAGCTATTTTTAATACAAATATTTAACATTTCCCCCAAACAACCCTTGAACATGCTGAACTCCCCATTAATTACTGTTGTTAAATGATTGTTCACCACACCCATAACCTGATACAGCGAAAGGGCAGGAGAGGGAATGATTATACTTCAAGCATGACCTGGAATCCCAACAAAGTCTAATTAAAGTGCATGGCCACCTCGGCTACCAAATTAAATCTGAAGGGCAAATCTTTCATGACATTTATGCTCCCATCCACTTGGGCGAGGGGGGCGAGAGTACTTAGCCAGTCGTTATGCAGGTGACTAACTGC